ACCTAATTTTAATCCAATTAAATAAATAATGTAGGAAATATATTTCCCACTAATCCACATCTTCTAGAAGACTCCAAAGTCTCCTAATCCCAAGAGAAGATTCTAGTAGGAATTTTATTCTCCTAATTAATTAATTAATATGGAATAAAATTAATTCCTATTTAATGGAATTAAATAATAGAACATCCCACTAGAGTAATATTATTGCTCTCTCCATTTAGCCACTATTTTACCAATAAAATCGAGCCTCCATAATTAATTAATATTAATCTGACTGATCGATTTACCTCCCTATGTTTAAGATATAACGTCCGTTGATTAATTAAATTACTGACAAAGTAATTAATCAACTTCTTATTCATTTCCGAAATTAGTACCACTCAGCCTTTAACCATTATGTCAGACAATCGTCTACCTGCAGGGTTTAACATAATGTTCCTTTCCGAGCTCATTTCGAGGACGTCATCAATCCAGCGCACTGGAACATAGTGACTGTATATAATCTATAATAGCACATCATATAATTATTCTTACTTACCAAAATACCTCGTATGTCATCCTAACGGAATAGGAATCACTTGGTAAATCAAATAAATAAGAGATAAATATATATGCCTATTTTATATTATATTACAGCTTAAGAGAACGCATCAATCACTGAAGGGCGAGGTTACAACTACGGGCAGTGAGTCTCATAACCTTTGCCTTCCGCGGTCCTGTTCAACACTTATCATAAGTGCTAGTGTAATCCTTCAGTCAAAGACCAACTGAATCCGGAATACACTACAGTCTTTTTCCAAGTGGGGTCTCACTGCCAGTCTAGACTGTGAACGAATAGTTTAGTCTTATAAGGAACCGATAGGTGATCTTTCCGTTCGAAACTCTTCGAACCACACTATCTCAATATAAGACATGGAGTATGTATTGCATAAATAAATAAACTGCAAATATATGTACTTTGATCGAAACATGATTGCCAGATCAAAATGGAATTGATAGAATCTGCAAAACACAGCTTTTACAGCATACCTCTAACAGACGTGACGACCGACCCACTCAGGGTCAATTGCCGAGGTGCCCTAAATGCGGCAGGTTCCACACCGGAGAGTGCTTAGCAGACCAGCGAGCTTGTTACAACTGCAACCGTCCGGGCCATTATACCAATGTTTGTCCGGAGCCCAAGAGGCAGCAGCAATTCCCTCAGCAGCAGCAGCGTTTTCCTCAGCAGCAGCAGCTTCCCCCACCGCCGCACCAGCAGCAGCAACAGCCCCCACCATTCCAGCAGAGGACTGGAGGTCAGGCTCGTGTCTATACCCTCACCCATGATGAGGCCGCTCGTAATGTAGGTACCATGTCCGGAATGCTTTCAATATCCCATGTGCCTGTTTTTGCTTTATGTGATACTGGTGCTACCCATTCTTTTATCTCGTCTCGTTGTCTGGAGGCCTTATCTGTTAGCACTGTGCATGCTTGTGATCCTCTCGAGGTTAGTCTAGCCTCGGGAAAAACTATTACCTCTGATTCTGTGGTTCGCGATCTTCCTATCTGTATTGGTGGTCGAATTCTGGAGGCCGATGTGTATGTTATTGATATGCGAGACTTTGACGTGATCTTGGGCATGGACTGGCTCACTCGTTACCGAGCCGACATCCGGTGCCAGGAGCGCGAAGTCACCCTCCATCCCATTTCCGATCAGCCCGTTGTGTTCTTTGGGGTGAGTTCGAGGACTGTGCCTCGGATCATCTCTTCTATGCAAGCTAGGAAGAGCCTTTCCAAGGGTAGCTGTCAAGGCTACCTCGTTTCTATGGTATCCGACGTCGCTGAGGAGCGGGTGCCCGAGAGAGTATCCATTGTCTGCGAGTACCTCGACGTCTTTCCTGATGACTTGCCTGGAGGACCGCCAGACCGCCAGGTGGAGTTCACCATTGACTTGATTCCCGGAACCGGCCCCGTTTCTAAGGCCCCTTATCGTATGGCGCCGAAGGAGCTTCAAGAGCTCAAGGCCCAGATCCAGGAGTTTCTTAAGCTCGGTTTCATTCGTCCGAGTGTCTCGCCGTGGGGTGCGTCCGTCCTATTCGTGAAGAAGAAAGACGGATCTATGCGCATGTGCATTGACTATCGGGAGTTGAATGCCCTTACAGTTAAGAACAAGTGCCCCCTTTCCCGTATCGAGGACCTTTTCGACCAGCTGAGGGGAGCCAGCGTCTTCTCAAAGATTGATTTGCGTTCTGGCTATCATCAGCTGAAGATCCGGGAGTCGGACATTTCCAAGACTGCTTTCCGTACTCGCTATGGCCACTATGAGTTCGTAGTCATGCCCTTCGGACTCAGTAATGCCCCGACCGTCTTCATGGACCTTATGAATAGGGTATTCCATCCTTTCCTAGACCAGTTCGTCATTGTGTTCATCGACGACATTCTGGTCTACTCCCGAGATATTGATCAGCACAAGGAGCATCTGAGGATTGTGCTTGAGACTCTTCGCCGCGAGAAGTTGTATGCTAAGTTCTCGAAGTGCGAATTCTGGCTGCAGCGTGTGGCATTCCTTGGCCACATTGTGACCGCTTGAGGCATTGAGGTGGATCCCAGCAAGATCGAGGCGGTGAGCAAATGGGATACACCAAGAAGTGCCGCGGATGTTCGTAGTTTCCTGGGGTTAGCAGGATACTACAGGAGATTCATCGAGGGATTCTCGAAGATAGCCCAGCCGCTGACCAACCTTACGAAGAAGACCGTGAGGTTCGATTGGAGTGTTCAGTGCGAGGAGAGTTTCCAGGAGTTTAAGAGGAGACTCACTACCGGGCCGGTTCTAGCCATACCCGACCCTACTTTGGAGTTCACCGTCTATAGTAATGCTTCGAAGATGGGTTTGGGTTGCGTTCTTATGCAGCAAGGGAAAGTCGTAGCCTATGCTTCGAGGCAGCTGAAGCCTCACGAGCAGAACTACCCCACTAATGATCTTGAGTTGGCCGCTGTCGTCCACGCCTTGAAGATTTGGAGGCATTATCTCTATGGAGGCAAGTGTGAGATCTTTACCGACCACAAGAGCTTAAAGTACATATTCACTCAGAAGAAGCTGAACATGAGGCAGCGAAGGTGGTTGGAGTTGGTCAAGGACTACGACTGCACCATTAGCTATCACCCTGTGAAAGCTAATGTGGTAGCCGATGCCCTTAGTCGGAGGAGCTATGGCAAGTTGTCTTGCGTGTTCACCAAGCAGGATGTTCTTCTTCGGGACTTCGAGCGATTGTAGTTAGAGGCAGTGGAGTCGACTTTGACAGCCGGGAGTGTGTTAGCCTATTTGGTTGTGGGACCGACTATTCGAGAGAGGATAGTCGCCGAGCAGCCGAATGACCGTTTCCTATGCCGGATGAGGGAGTTGTCAGCAGCCGGTAGAGTAGGTGGATTCGCAGTCGCATCCGATGGAGCCTTGGTCTTCGAGGGTAGACTTTGTGTTCCGAGGGTGTGGGAACTGCGGAGAGAGATTTTGAAGGAAGCCCATAGTGCCCCGTACACCATTCATCCTGGTAGCACGAAGATGTATCAGGACCTGAGGAAGTCGTTCTGGTGGCGAGGCATGAAGAGGCAGATAGCGATGTTCGTGGATGGGTGCCTCGTGTGTCAGCAAGTGAAGGCTGAGCGCCAGAAACCGAGAGGGTTATTGCAGCCTTTAGAGGTTCCCCAGTGGAAGTGGGATTGCATCGCCATGGATTTCTTGGTTGGGCTGCCGAGATCGAGGAGCGGGTACGATTCAATTTGGGTGATAGTGGATCGCCTTACGAAGTCTGCCCATTTTCTGCCTGTCCGGACGACCATGAAGGCGAGTGATTACGCCGAATTGTTCGTCAAGGACATTGTCAAGCTTCATGGAGTGCCCGTGGAGATTGTTTTGGATCGAGATGCCAAGTTCACATCCCAGTTCTGGAGGACGTTGCACCGAGCCATGGGGACGAGGTTACAGTTTAGTACAACCTTTCACCCCCAGACCGATGGTCAGTC